GGGCCACACGCCACAGCCACATACGCCGCCACGAGAAGCTAGAAGCGGCTACTAAAATGGCTGAAGCGCGCGACAGCGGCCGACTAAGGTAAGGAAGAGAGGGGTGGGGAATCGCGCGAGTGACGTGTGGCGGCGTTTTGTATCGGCGCATTAAGTGGCCGGTGCGGGCCACAAGAAGCGAGCAACGACGATTTGTAGCGTGTGGCGGCCACCGGCGTACCGTGTTTGGCGAGTCCATAGAAAATGTATGAAAGCTACAAGAAATATGCCGGTGGCGGCGTTTTGTGGTTGTGGTCGGTGGCCCGTGTGCGGCGACACTAAAGCTTCTGGTGTAAATTTCAGCTGCCAATAAGTTTTCCCAATTATTCAATCATTCGGTGTCCTGCACACACTCTTCTCTCTGTGCCAATTGACCTTTCATGTAAGGATGTGCTCCAGGATATACGAACTCGTTCGTTTCTTCTCTGGTCATCTCTCTTTCGGGAAATGCACGCTCTAAACTATCTTATCTTACTATTATTATAAATGAGAAAGTTTGTATGTCTGTTACTCAATCACGTAAAAACCACTGAACGGATTTGGATAAAATTTGGTAAGCATAGTTTAGTTTTTCAGAGCGGTTTCCGCACTTCCTCCTAATCATTCCACCAGTGTGCGTGTATCGAAACATTTCCGTCACTGATGCCAGATTGGGGGGATTCTCCCCAAATTTGGGGGGTTTTTAAAGCGATGGGGGGATAATTGGGGGGAAATTATTTTTGGGGGGATTTATGAGGGGAAGAAATTTGGGTTTGGGGGGAAATGGGGGGTTTTTATTCCATTTTTTATATAAAAATAATATAACCACTTCATAAACGCTTAATCTGTAAAAAGTCGCGATCAACAGCCAATCAACAGTCTCTCTTTCTCATTCGGTATAGAGCATGACAAGGATCTAGACTGTTGTCAAATTTAAACTTATTAGGCTTAGAAAATCATGCAAGAATCAGGCTCACTGAACTGTGTTCACAGTGAGCCCGATTCGGACCCCTAAATCCAAAGTCCACCTAAAAAGTGCAAATCGGAAAAAGTACGCCTTTTATAACGCCTCCCGTTTTTTAAAAAATCAGACCTGGGCAACACTGCAGTAATGGATGCTATTGCCAACATACATATTTTTTAGTAAATATTGTATTTTTAATAAATATTTTGAATGTTGGGGGGTTTTGCTTTTAAAACCTGTATTTTGGGGGGATTTCGGGTAAGTTTTGGGGGAAAGGCGAAATAGCTGTCTGGTAACACTGCTTTCCGTTTACCTCAGTCAGCCTAAGTTAGTCCAGAAGGAAAGCAGCCTTGGCAGACTGCTGCAAGCTTCCGGAAGCGATGCTGACGACTGGAGAAGTCGTGCCCGTTGGTCGGCCACACACACTCCTGCATTCCATGATGACATGCTGTGGCGTTTCTTCTGCCTCCATGCATCCTCTGCATAGGGGGCTGTCTGTTACTCCTATTGTATATAGGTGTTTGTTTAGGGGACAATTTGGTACGCATATAGTTTATGACCTGGATTGAGACATTGGATACTTTTAAATTAGATTCCTGTGAGATTCTCAAATAAAGTTAACGCAGACGTAGTCGCGGGCGGTTGCTGGTATACATATAATATTTATTGTTAAATTTACCTTGTTTTTAGATTTTTATTAGTTAAGTGCCAATGTAAATACACACTCGGTGACACTGGCCAAGTACATATATTATTATGATTTATAAAAGCAGCCAACAGATTTAATAGAGGTCATAAGATAATGTTGAACTGTTGAACTTGAATATCATTTAGGTTTGGAACCCACATGCTTTGTGAACTAGGTTTTAAAAACAACCTTTTTTTCGTTGAATGTTATTTGGGATTGTGGTACTATTGTTATTTTTTTTAATTTTCATATAACATGTGTACGAGTATTGTGACTATCATATGTTTTTACGACCGAAGCCATTTACACATTTGGCGTAAAACTCAAATATCATTATAATATTATATATATTTTTTGTATAAGAATGGCTAGAAGAATTTCGACGCGGCCGTCAGGGCCGCGGTAGCGTAATTGGTCAGTGCATTCGCCCAGATAGCGAAGGGTGCGGGCTCGAGTCCCGTCTGCTGCCTGGTCCGTGTGGATTTTTTTCTAGTTATATTTTCTGTAGATTTAAACATCAAGCAGTTACATGCTTAAAAAATTATAACTATAATTGCTATTTCTTCTTTCAAATGTTTAATACTAAAAGTATTCATTTGACATTGTGGGTTGCCTACAATGCGAAGAAATGGAGCTGCCTTGCAGCTTAAGAATGGCTAGTAGAATTTCGACGCGACGGAAATTCTTCTAGCAGTTGCGTTTACACGTAATGTTGCATGTATGAATGCATCGGTGCAATGGTGTCATGTAGCACCTGGTTTTGTACCCTTCAACGGCCAAGTCACACAACATTAACTATAATAATAAAGAAATTGCAGTAACGAACCTTAAACTTGGCACGACTTTGTCTAGATTTCATTACTTTTTAGAGATAAACAAGCAGTTCCATCGAAACTTGGCTAGTTTTTTACAGAATGTTTTGGTGGGATATTAATTTTTTTTTAAACGTCTTTCTGAAGTACTAAAAGCTGTAACAACATGTAGACCTAGGGTTTAACACTTTTAAAGCGTGTCTCTAGCTAGGTAGAGTCTGTAAAGTATCAAAAACCTTCAAAAAAAGAGCGTACTCCTTCCTTAAAGGCCGGCATCGCATTTGTGATACTCCTGGTGTTGCAAGTGTCCATGGGCGGCGGTGATCACTTACCATCAGGTGAGCCGTCTGCTCGTATGCCACCTATAACATAAAAAAAAAATCATCATCATCAACAGCCTGTCTTAGTCCACTGCTGGACATAGGCTTCTCCAATTGCACGTCACTGAGATCGATCTTATATCTTATCTCTAAAGTATAAATTATTAAATACATTATTATTATTTATCTCATTTAATACATTATACTAACATATCTACTTTTTAAATGAAATGACCATGTTGTTAGTAATAATAACAATATATTTTTGGTATACATATTTTGATACTAACCAAAATATTAAAATGGACTGAAATATAATCTATTAATATTATTTTGAATGTATATTTCTTACCTATTTACATTTTCTTAAAAATTTAATAATTTAACTAAAGAACAAATAGTAAGATATTTATAACTAAAAACCTTAAAATATACCTATATAATAACTAAAATACATTATTAAAAGGAGTCCCTTTATACAATGTTCCAAAGATACTGGCAGCGTTCGCCCTTTGAATAGCTAGACTAATTCTTTGTCCGAGATAGCTGCCAGCTCTTCGGTCTCCCGTGATGTCGACCAACCTTTTTGCTATTTCCTTAAAAAGCCTTACAGCGCTAGGACCCCACGGACCAAGGGTCTCGACACCGAATGGGACAAAATCATATTCGGAGCCTAGACCCCTGTATTTGCATGCCTTAGCTTTTTAAGCCGCTTCGCAAGCCGCACCATATTAAAAATAAAATATGTATATTTCATGTTTTCTCCGGATTTAAGATGCCATTTTCATACTTTTATATAACTGAAAACTAAACTCAAAATATCTTTATTTAAATGGACTTTGGTAAGTACTTTTAAATCGTCAATCCTACCACAGTTTCGAGATGAAATAATTATTTCACTTAAATACCTAAATAATATGCTGCTTTGTCGGAGAAGAAGCGGCGAAAGAAACTCCACAGCTTACAATTTCGTACTGATCTTACAACATCATTACAGGTCAATAATTACATCAAAAAATTATAATTAAGGTACTAAAAGTACAGTTTTAGATGCGTAAATTTTGGGCAGATTTACTCCCACGCATTTTTATCATTCAAATAGTCATTAATTTTATAATAAGCTTTTTTATACAATTTAGCTTTTAAAGTTGTTTTAAATTTATTAATAGGCAAATCTCTCCTACTATTTGGAAGCTTATTGTAAAAACGTATACATTGGCCCACAAAGGAATTGTTTATTCTGTGGAGACGAGTCTTATGTACAACCAAATTGTGTTTATTCCTGGTATTAACATTATGTGTATCACATTTCTCAGAAAAATGTATAATATTTTTCTTTACATATAGTAAGTTGTCCAATATATATTGTAATGTTACAGTTAGAATATTATATACCTCCAATCATACTCTTGAGACCATTCTCCATAGCCTGGAGTAAAGGATTCGAAACGTAGAGCTATGTTTAGAATTCGGAAAGTAATGAGAGGTAAAATTCGCTTCTTCTCAGAATCCATCATTAGTTTCATCCGTCCCATCATCGAACAGACTTTGAACATCGGTCCCGGACGTATCTGCAGTCCTTAGCACCCACCAATCCTCACTGAGCCTAAAGATAACGATTCTTTGACAGTCGTGAACGAAGCCTGGAGTAAAGGATTCGAAACGTAGAGCTATGTAGAGCACTGTTTACAATTATAAACTTGAAAATGTATAATATCAAGTAAATACTAGGTATTCTCAAACCTCTAAACGGAGATCCCACGGCTTAGAGGGTATTCGCAGGGTTTTTTAGCGGATACTATGCCGTAAAGCGCCTGTAAGGGTTACGGGGACCTCAGTGGGCAGCCACAGTGGGGACTCGTAAGCCTTGCGGGAGCCAGGTGTGAGGTCCGCTCGGCGGTGTGCCTCTAAAAGGCGCCGTCGTATGTAAATAGTATTTTTTGCCTGCGTATAAAAAAAAGGTATTCTCAAACCTAATTTAAATAATGAAAATTGATTTTCTGCATAACTTTTTTTCGTGATTTTTTCCGATATTTTTTTACTAACTATTATTATAAACATGGCTGTTGATTTGTTTTAGAAAGTGTAGATAAGTATTAAGAAAGCACCTCAAACCAAACAGAAAAACAGAGCTTTAATGCATTATTATAAGTTCCAAAAAACCCAATTTCAAAAAAAGGTTTCAATAGGTAAATATTTTAATATGATGATTGTTTTAAAATTATTAATATTTATATCTGAATGTTGTTACTGTAAATATTGATTTATCAAATATTTACAATAAAAGATAAAAAGGTTAGCCCGGTAAGATGACCTGACCACTGGCTGCGCGACCAACCGGAGTGTGCGCGCCCGAAACTGGCATCGGGATAAATGACAGTCGAAACCGTTAAAACACTACATGTCTCATTCCCACATGGGCTTGAGTACGGATTGTGTGGCGATACGCGATGCGTTGTCTCGCTCGCTCGCGCATTACTCGCACGGCTATGCATTCGTGTTAGCATTCATCCGCTCACACTACTAGTGGCGAGGCGAGTAGCGGTCGAGCCGAAATAGAGGTGGCACATGTGTTTTGTTATTAGCGGGAAATCTTTCGTCTCGAGTTAAAGCTGCGCATGTTTAGATTTTTTTTGATTGTGTAAAATGCTCTCTCTTTCCCAAAAGATAAGGAGACGCGGGCGCACAGCATACCACAATGCACAAGCGTAATGCATTGACATAGTGTACTGTTATCAGTGTTGTAGTTGCAGTGCAGTTGCATTAGATGCGTCTTTGTGTTTGTGTTTGTGCATCGTAACTACCTACGCAAAGGGAGAAAATGGGTACAGCCTGTTTTAGTTTCACAGACGTAAGTGACAATAAGCCTTTATTAAACAACGTATTTTTTATTTGCTTTACAAGCACTGTGTTAGACGAATGACAGACATTCCTTTTGCATACCGAACGGAACCACTTTCTATTTAGTTACAATGATTGTATTGTACAAAAAGATTTTTCCTTAAACGATTTATTTGCTATACTATTAAAACTTTTGTTTCCTTATATGGTTGCGCAAGTTATTTCTTAGAAATGCACCTGTTCGTAGTGATTAACTCGCGAAATGAATCCCCAAAATTCGAAATAAATGGCATTGGCAACTTTAGATAAGTGTAATGCCACTTTTTCTACGTCTAAAACAAAGAACTGGCATACGCCCAGAAATACTCAAAACATATCGTTACATTTATTTTTAATATAATTAATTATATGTAGATACTTAGTATTTTTCCTACTTATAAAGAATTATCATTTCTCTAGAGAAATTGAAAAATATACTCGTAGATCGAATGTAGAGTTGACTCACTTGAATTTGATGACTCTACATATTATTATGTTTACATTCATAATAATTTATGTTACAGAGTAAATCAAGTATTTCTGTATTCTTTTTTTTTAATTTTTATTATTTGTAATTTAGTTAATTTAAAGAAAAAGTTAAATTATTGTAAAATCTTAAAGTAGAGGGCAATTAATTACTTGTAGACACTGTTAGATAAGTAAGTATTAATGTTTCAACCAATTTTGGTTGGAAATAGGTTGAAACTTAAATACTTCGCTATTGAGTATAAAATAATTATACTCTTTAAACTTATCATCCGATTCGATCGATCACCGGTTGGTGCAGTGGTAGCGATTCTGCCTTCTGATTCAAAGTTCCTTGGTTTGATTCCTGTTGATGTATCTTTGTGGGATGATAACATAGCTCTTTCTTATTGTCGTTAGAGATCCGAAGAAACTATAAACAAAAAAATTGTTTGTAACAGTTTTTCATCACAATATGTTTAATGAGTACGCTTTCCTAAAGGTTTAATCCACGCGATTATTTGTGCTTCCATATGTCAGTACCCCTAGCACGAACCATTATCGAAATCGAATAGTTGGCGAGTCCGAAATAACATTGTCAAATTTTATATGGAAACTTGTACCGCAGCGCCCCAACGGATGAGAACTAAAAATCAGTTCACATTTCACAATGACATTTCGTACTCGCAAACTATTCGATTTAAAACAGTTTGCGAGTCCGAAATGTCATTGTCAAATTTTGTATGGAAACTTGAACAGCAGTGCCATAGCGGACGTAACGAGAACTAAAAATCAGTACCCATAGCACGAACCAATACGGAATTCGTATCGTTTGCGAGTCCGAAATGAAACTGTCAAATGTGTACTGGTTTTTAGTTCCCGTTACGTACTTTATGGCGCTACTGTTCAAGTTTCCATACAAAATTTGACATTGACATTTCGGTTTGCAAACTATTCGAATTCGATAATGGTTCGTGCTAAGGGTACTGGTATAGTTTTCTAATCTATTAGACAAGTCCGTCCGTCCGTCCGTCCGTCCGTGGTGCTGTTTCAGCGGCCAAACCGTAAGAGATAGATATAAAGAATGTTTAAGTTATAAGTTAAGAATAGTCTGATAAAACTACAAACCGGATGTGAGTAACGTAGCACTTCCGGTTTTCGAGAAATCACGTGATTTCTATTTCAAACGAAACCACACAAAATCTCCGAAGTTCTCAATTAATTAAAGACATTTATTTTTTTTTTGGTGAACATTTGGTTCACTGGTTTGCTAGTAAGTTTCTATTGTTATTAGAAATCTTTAAAAAAAAGTGGTACGTTTTTGATTCGTTGGAGACAAAACAGCCTGAAAGTGAAACTATGTCCCTACCGAACGTGTATGGTCATGTTATGGGATTAGTTTAAATGTTTTAATTTTTTACTTGGTTTAGTAGGGACAAGCTTTGCCAGTCAGTTCTAAATCTGTCCAACCCTGTACTACTTGAGGGTTGGTTTCTGGGGGTTGATTGACAGGGGGTTTTCTTAAATCCAAAAAAAACAGGCACCCTGTTTCCACAGATTGCTGTGGCCCAAATTATTCGCAATTTTGAACCTTATTCATCTATCATAAGTGTATACATAAAATAATTTCTACAGCGCGATTTAGAACATATACCCGAACATTTGACAGATTTTATTAGCGCCATCTTTCGTAACCAAATGGTACTAAATACATATCAAAACCAAAATAAACGTTATGTTTTTATTTATTTTTAAGCATTTAACTGCTAGATGTCCAAAGCTAAAGAAAAGTTTACTAGAAAAAATCCACGCGGACCAGGCAGCGGACGGGACCCGAACCCGCACCCCTCGCAATCCGGGCGAATGCACTGACCATTATGCTACCACGGCCCTATTGACCGCGTCGAAATTTTCCTAGCCTCTTTTCAAATGTTTAATACTTTTTCAAGTATTAAACATTTGAAAGAAGACATAGCAATTATAGTTTTGTTTTTTTAAAAACATTTTTCTAGTAAACTTTTTTTTACAAAATAAACGTTGTTTAAGGTTGAACAAAATCTATTTATTTTTTACATAACTAACATTCTTTTACATGCACACAAATTCCATTTCTTCCTCTTGTTAACGATGGCGAAGTGTATTTTTTTAAAAATACTAGGTTGCTAAATACTTTTTAAATACTACGATGTAGTCACGGACAGAGAAGAAGAAGACTTCATCTCCGTTAACCTACTTTTTTTTAGATTCGCACAGCACCATTTTTTCAGGATAAAAACTATCATATGTCTCAATCAAGGTAATAAACAATATGTGTGCCAAAGGACATTGTTCTGCGTCCATACATAGTTAGCCTAAGAATCAACAATCATGAAAAATGATTTTCTAGGTTAGAAATCGCAAGTAAATGACTGTAAAAACAAAGATTATTGACGGACACTTCTGAGAACTACAATTATTAGGGAAATTAATTTTTTTTTAGGTTATGTTTAATATTCAATGAAACAGGTCAACCTATGAACTTAGTATGAACTCAGTATGAAGTGAATTAATATTACATGATTACAACTAATTCATTTTATTCGGTGCGATTTTAAAGAATAACTATTAGGAAAAACTTGGTTAGGTAGGAATCATGAATAAAATAAAAACTGTAGTTTTGCTTCTTATTCATTGACTATTTTTCACATAATTGTATATTGTATTTATCTGTATATCACATGTATATTGTGTAAATATGCAGCGTGAATGTGTATCAGGTGCTCTTGAATAATTTGGCAGTATGATCCTCTCAGGATGTTGTGGCACAGGTTCACTAGCACTTGGTAATAAGGTCTCTGCTCTTTGGTTACATCGATGGCATATTAGATAGCCGAAATAGTTAAATTAAAGGAAAAACAATCGCAAATAAACACACACAACAGGTAATCCGAAACGAGAATACACGAATGCCACAGATTACTACGAATGCAAACTGCCTGCACCAAACCACAGAGTATCGAGTTTCATGCCGGCCCTTCACTTGACAACAGTTTGTCCTTGTCATGCTTAATAAGGAATGAAAAGGACAGACTGATGTCATGTTTTCAAATAGCAAATACGAATAGCCAAGTGAAGTGCCGGCATTAGGAAGGAAGAGTGTTTTGTTTGCAGCGCTGTCATAGATTATACACATAAAATGCTAATTTATTGTCTCAGATTATTTTTTAACTTTTTAATTTATCTTCCTTAACTGGAAGTGTCCGTCACAATCTAAATACTGATAATTATCGCAAAAAATATACTAAGAACTATCATAAATGCCAAATTGGTGTTGATTCTTAGGCCAATTTTAACATTGTCCTTTCAACCAAATCCGTTCAGCCGTTTTTGCGTGATTCAGTAACAAACATTTATAATATACTAGCTGACCCAGCGAACTTCGTACCGCCATAAAAATAGGGGCAGGTGGTAGAAGAGAAAATTAAGGGTTGTATGTATTTTTAATACCACGTTATAAAAAAGTAAATAGTCCAAAAATATTTTAGGGGTGTGTAACGTAGTGTTCTATCAATTTCCTGGGATAACAGTTCTCCTAACCCATATGAGAACACTACGTTACAATACCCAATAGTTTGAATATAGGCGCGAAGGCGCATTGTAGGTTTCAGAAAACTACGTGTTGCCGACCTCTTTTATAGATTTAGTTTTTATGGTTTTTTGAAGTGTTTTTAAAGTATTGACATTTTTATGATTTTTGCTATCAAAATTGTTATTGTGTGTCATAGTCTTTGCCTGTCATCTGATATAATATTATTTTGTGTTTTACTATAAATCGTGTTAATAAACCCATTGCGTTCATATCCTGGCCTTCATATTCCATTCCACTAGCTCTCCGCTTCACTACGTTACAGGTGGACAACCATTATCACTTAAGGAATATGCATATAAAATTTCATAAAAATCGGTCAAGCCGTTCCGGAGGAGTATGGTAACTAACATTGTGACACGAGAATTTTATATATAAAGTAAGGTAGCTAATTTCTATATAGCTTATAATTATATTCTATATGAAAATTACTGTTGAAAGTGCAAGTTTCAAGATAGCGTAGTTACAGTTATGCATCGCTATGCAGTTTGCGTAAACATCAAGAAGCTTATATACAACACTGGAGATTGCAGTGCAAACAATACCTTGAAGTGAAAAAATATGGCCTTGAATGACGTCACATATGTTTGTTATCTCTTTCTAAGGGTGACCATGTTGGAATATACGTTTAGGATACATACTTACTGGTATCGTCTTTAAACAATTTATAAATCAAAGCGTTGGAGTTGATAGGAACTTGGGAACACATTATTTAATAGTAATAAAATTCACAAGTACAAAAATCATTTTATTCATATTAGATGCGTCTTATATTATGCAATGTCAAAAACGTTTATAAAAAAATTAAAAGAATATGCAAACCCTTTTTAAAATCGCCAGAAATGCCTTTTACTAAGAACGGACTAGAAACTCTAAGCTAC